AATAACCCACAAAACGAAACAAGTGGTTTATTTTTTGAAGATGTGTGCTCCTCTCAGTGGGAAACGGTTATTTGCATATCTTTTTCCGTTGCTGTTGGACACGGACCCGCACGGAAAAATAAGTGTTAGAGCGCGGTTACCCACGAACGTGTACGCAGGGTACCGTAGAAGTGCGTAGAAACATATCAAATTTGCTGTTGATTGAGAGAGAGAGAGAGAGAGAGCGAGATATAAGCAACGTCAACGTCATGGTCATGCGGTGGAAGGGCTGCGTGATTTTAAATCCTTATTGATTTAAAATCCGCTATCAATTAAGAAATATATTTGAATTTGTGATTTGGTTTGTTGACCAAATAAAAAATAAACTTTATTTGTGATTTGATTTGTCAACCAAATAAGAAATAAAATTTTTTTATTTGATTTGAAAATAATACTTTTGTGATGCAAAGCAAATAAGATATTCAAGTATCTTCCAACTTCCAGTTCTTCGAAAATCTTCGTGATTTTTGGGACTGATTCGGGATTTTCGAGACTTCTTGAGGATTTTCGGAATCCTCGGGACTGTTTCGGGATTTTTGGACTATTTCGGGATTTTCGAGACTACTTTGGGATTTTCGGGACTAATCCGTGATTTTCCAGACTTCTTCGGGATTTTTGGACTATGGAAATGAATTAAATCGATTCATCATGAATCATCATCGATTCTTTCTTAAATATCAAACATTTCTAGTTCCCAGGTTGAGTCTCTGTGACTATATCATTTTCTTTATAATTACCTTTATTTTAATATTTCTTCCTTTATCTTCACTTTACTCATCCTCATCTTTTTCTTAATATTAATCTTTATCATCTTTATGTTCATCATTTTCTACATTCCCCTCACCTTTGCCCTTATATTAGTAAAATTATTATACCCGACCGCACTTCTGCACAACGGTATTATAACTTTGTTCACATAACGGTTGTTTGTAACAGGCAAAATGAATCAAGATAGATATAGACAAATGTATACATAAATGATCAGAATGAAAAGATAAATCGATTAAGCGGTGACTGTCTGTCCGTCCGTCTGTCCACACGATAACTCGAGATATCTTAACGAAACTTGGTACGTGCATTTCTTTCGGGCGTAGGACGGATGGTATTGAAAATGGGCAATATCGGACAATAACCACTCCTACCTCCCATATAACGGTAATTTTCAGAAATACGAAAACTGCGATATTTTAGTAAACACTGAAGATAATTCACTCAAAATTAATATTTACAATAATTTTTAGACGAGAAATAAGAATATTATAAATTTTTGGAAAATGTGCGTAGCCACGCCCACATGTGTATATCTTGGTAACCACTGCACCAATTTCTTCCAAACTTGGCACAGGGGTTAGCCTTGCTACAGCATACGAAATAACCGAAAATTTTTAAAATCGGACAATAATCACGCCCACACCCCATATAACGGTAATTGAGAGAAATATGAAATCTTCGATAAATCATTAAATATAATTTATTCAAAATTGATGCTTGCAACAATTCTTTACCAAGAAATACGTTTATGTTAAAATTTTGGAAAATGGGCGTGGCGCCGCGCACTTATGATCACATATAGATATGTATCTCGGTAACCGTTCTACTAATTTGTACCAAACTCGGTATGGTTATTGTGCTTGCCACATGAATGCGAAATGTTGAAAATTATTGAAATCGGACTAAAATTACGGCCGCTTTTCATATAACGGTAAATTTCAGAAATGCTTGAAACTACATAGTTCCAAAGTTAAGGACGCTAATTTACTCAAAATTGATACACCCCGGCTTGCCATGTAGCGGTATTTGCGCCTGGTATTTAATGTTCGGCTCCGCCCGAACTTAGACTTTCTTACTTGTTAAATTCATCTTGATCTTAATTTTTGCATTTATCTTTACGCATCTTTGTTTTTGTTTTTATTTTTACCTTTGCCTGTAACTTTTTCTTTATCATTAATTAAGACACTTAAAAATAAAAGTCCCTGCCAAAGTGTTTTGCCCAAGGGAAATTTTAGCAGTTGATAAATAACCCACAGCGGAAAACACAAAAAGATCGCGCAGAGTGATTTGCCACGGTGAGAAACACTCTTTGCTTGAGAGATGACTGTTTGTATCAGTTCAGTGGTAAACACCCAAGAATGATAGAATACAAGATTGCGCCAATCGAGCTGAGAGCAACTGGCCGTGACGTCAAAAAATACCAGAATGAGAGAGCAAGACGAACTCGACAAGAAAAAGAGGAAGCATCGGACAAAAGGCAGTATGCCAAATTTTTTATTGGTGTATTTTATAGACTTTATATGCATACATAATTTTATTGTAAGGATGCCGATTCAAATTAATAAAAATCAATGTTTATTGCACGACGGTTGATTTCTTATGGCATGATTGAAGGTGCTGTCACATATTTTGTTGTCGCTTATGATTGTCACTGTGCCTTGATTTTGTTTAAATTTTTGTAAAGTTGCTTACCATACTTACGATTGCTATGAATTTTGCTTCCATTTTTTTAAGATTTTCTAATTTGGTATCTTCAAATTAAAAACAAAAGCACCAAAAACGCGCCAAGCACCAAACTCAAAAATTTTCGCGTTTTGAATATCCACTAAATTTGGTGCGAAAAGCATGAAGTTGGCAACAGGGAACGTAAACAAAAGTATTTTATGACGTCAGCGATTAGGTGGATGCTGTCAAATCGACGAAGAGAGGGTTAGCGGTCCGCGAATGGCGCGACCTTTATTTTCTGGATCGTGGTAAACACCATACGAGACACTTCGTGACGGTTATTTTCGATCTCTGACTATTATATACTATGTTCACGTGGAACCATTAACTCGAGTTTATGGGCCATTTTGGAGTTAAACGGTTAACATACTTATTAACCCGTCGTCTGTCATACAAATAATTTTCCTTTAGCTCGCCTTAAACACCACTTTTATTGGGAGTTTATGCGAATGCAACTTTTTTTTACCGCATTTGATTTGTGTCTTTTACCTTGTTTATACCTACGCAAGAACCGCATTAACAAAAAGCCGATTTGCCTCAACACATAATTCTTTCAAGCGTTTATGCATTTGTCTTTATACCGCACTCTACGAAACCGTATTTTAAACTAAACAAAATTTGCTGTTTTATGTTCTTTAATAATCAATTTGCGCGGTTGACCGAAATGTAAGTGAACAATAATTAAAATTTATTATAATAACAATTCAAATTTAAAACGGGCTGTATAAAGAAAACCAGCCTTTTTTCACTTCGCGTCAAATAAGTGACGTGTTTATACCTGTTTTCTAGCCGATGTGAGAAATAAAACACCGATTTGAAAACAAAATCGAGTCAATACACTTTTGAATTTCTGAGCGTATTGAAATCTGGTTTATGCTTCCGTTTTGAACTGGGGCAAAGCGCCTTATGTAACGGTATAAACAAGGTATTTGATAATTCAAACCTGCAACCAATCTGCCGACGGTTAGCCTGCTCCCATACTGCAGGATTTTATCAGAAATAGTGCGAGGTCGTTTCGTGTATAAATGCAGAGTATCAACAATCTAGCTATGAAAAGCCAAAAATGTGGCTCGATGGAAATTTTTGTACTGATTTCAACCCTACCAAAATTATCTGACGGAAGTAAAAAATTAAGAAGATATCAATGGTTAAAGTTAATATTGTTGATTTTTTTAAATATTAATATCTTCTGAACAAAATAACCTATTAAAAAACTAATAAAGGTAATTAGAGGGCCTTTCACATGGTACAAAAAATATATATGTTTATTTAAAGTTTGTTTTAAAAAGGGTTGCACTATATACGTCGCGTATAAAAGATATCATCATCAATACTTTTGTGATCGGTCAAATAGTTTCCGGGATATTATAAATATAAAAAAACAACAACATGAAAAGTTCAATAGTCACATTTTTTTTTTTTTTTCTAAACGGTTGGTATTCGACACGGCTACTTCAGACCTTTTCTGTCTAAATCCTGGAGTAAGGGAACAGGCTAGATGTGAGTAAGAAAAAGTAAACAAATAAATATCAAATTAAACTCTGAGTTTCTTTAACACTCCAATGAGAACACTTAACAGTTTTTCATAAACTCAAAACAATAACTCGAGTTAACTTTTCAACGTGAACATAGTATTACTATACGTTTGTTCGGATTTCATTCATCATACGTTAAATATGGTCAGTAAAAATGTTATTATTTAAAACGGCGAATAGTTTTATATGTACATATCAACTTTTGTGAGCTTATTTAGGTACAACATACCTACATTAGTTACAATAATATTAAGCTATAATACAAAATTTTTGAGTAATAATTGGTTTTAAAATTTTTTTTTTCTATAGGAGGGCCCACCGTAAATGCCTCGTAATCACGTAAACCTCTTAAACTTAAAAATCAGTTTATTTACGAGGTTTACGTGGTTACGAGGCATTTGCGCGTTTAGATGAATTTCACTATTATTTTCTGAGAAGTCTTTAATTTTCACTTTGATCAATTACGATCATATGGAAGGTGGACGTGGTACGTAATCAGTTTTGACCAACTTATCACCTGTCCACCAAATAATAAGATTTGGCGCTTACACTTTGGTTGAGGGTTAGGCCGAGCTTCTCCAATTTGCGCTGTACTACATCCTGACTTTATAACGCAAATGGAGGGACTTACAGCTTTACGCCTCCTGCGAACGGCAAATGATTTTTGTGAGAAGCTTTTTGCAGGCAAAAATATAATGGGAGATTTGCCTGCCGAGGGGCGACCGCTGTTAGAAGTGTTTCTAATGGTGTTTTCGTGTCTACAAAAAAATTTTGCCTTTTGATTGCCCCTTTCTCTTTCGGTTTTTCTATTTTTTCTTTTCTATGTATTATTTCATTTAAACATAAAAATATGACTACTACGAAATATTTGAAATTTTCTAATTCCTATTGTTTTAGCAATTAGCCCAGTAATTCATAAAAGTAACTTACCACACAATCAAAACAGTTGAGATGAGAGCCTCTATAATCATGAGAACAGAAACCCCTACGCCAAGCAGGTAGTTTTAATTTAACACCCAATTGTTGAACACTTTTAATTTACAATTAAATTCAGTAAATGAATTTCACTTGAAATAAACACACACTTCACAAATATTTAAGCCAATATTTCCTTTATTACTTTCTTTATCTTCTCCAAATAATTTGTAATACTTTATTTGTTGTGATAATGTTTTAATTGGCGGCGACACTAATGAACTTTCAAGTGCAAACACTTGCCATATGAATTTATTTATAATTAGAACTTATCGCCTATGATGTTGGGAAAACAATATTAAAGCACATGCAAACAATTTTAGTTTCCGCTTTTGAAGTTCCCGTTAACGCCGACCATAAATTGTTGCATTAATTAGTTTTCTTATTCAAACACTCTAGCTGTGAAATATGAAGAGAAAACACTTGTTGGATCGCGCCGAGTTCGAAGCAGCTCATGCCCAATATAATCAACAACTGAACACTAAATTACTTTTATTCGCCAACGCGGCGAATGAGCAACGACCCCGACCGTCCGCGACCAAATTCTCTAGCAGGCAATCACAACCGTTCGCCTCCGCAGCCAAAACACCATTGCGCGGCGGACACCGCAAAATACTCGCAGGTTCTCTCAAAGACAATGTTGCCAGATTCAAAGCTGTAACTGTGAATTACAGTTTTTCTAGACAAGCTTACAGTTGTACAAATTAAAATTTTTTCGAAATCAAAATTTCTCTTTCCGTTTTTTGTAAGCCAGTTTTAAAGCTAAAAGGGAGGCTGTCGGAGCAGCGTTTCTTCATTCGGAACAAATGGTTTCATTCGGAACAAATGGTTCTTTCCACAAATTCCACAAATAAATAACTAGAAATTCCAGCCCTCTATTGAATTTTAAGAACTAAAAATTTCTTTAAAAAAACGCTTCAGGAGGTACTAAATTTGCTAAAAAAAAATAAAGCAATTAACGAAAATAATGAAACTAAATAAGGGCTTTTCAGGAAATTTGCAGCTTTTTTGAAATAAAAATTGGCAACACTGCTCAAAGGCTAATGAAACTTGGATTATGGCTGTGTTGGTTGTTTACACAAATTGTTGGTGTTTGCTTGGCCGCTGTTGATGCTGTTGTAATTGAGAGAACTTAGCTTGAGGGAGCCAGGCTTTGGTCGGAGCGAAAGCTTTCACAGCTTTGAGTGCACTTGTTGAATGCATTTTCTGTGCCGAATTCATAGGGGATGCACATATGCAGTCGGCCGAAAAACATGCACACACGGACAAAAGTTAAAAGGCTTGCACCGATGGCGCTTCTATTCAGAATCTGGCCACAAATTGTATGGGTTCAATGGATGTTGAGAAGTGATGGCCGTGGCATGGACGCACTACCGGACATGTGTGTATGTAAGTAAGAACATATGTAGTATGTATGTACCTACCATCTTTATTCTTGTTTGCTGATATGCAAAGTTGCTGAAATGCTTTTCAATAGAGACAGAATGTACATACTAGGGCTGTGCGATTAATTGATTATTCAAAATTTTAATTAATCATAATGTAAATAACTCAATTATTCGATTAATTGGAAATTATGATTACTCAAAAGTTCAGTTACTCGAGTAATCAAGATTTTGATTAACCAAAAACAAAAATATTTGAGTAATTTGCTTTATGATTAATCAACATTATGAATAAAATGAGTAATCAATATTTCAAAGTACTCTTTACATACATACATATAAAGCAGTTGAAGTTCCTTGATACTTTGAAAAAAACGTTTCTGTTTTCAAAAATTAAAATGAAATACATACATACATACATATTTTTTTCATATACAGAATATAAAAAAGAAAATAAGCATTTTCCAAAGCAAACTCTTTTAACGAGCAAAATTAATTTTTTTGAGTAATCATATTTCAAGTAACTCGATTAATCATCGTTTTGAGTAATCAAAATCTTGATTACTCGAGTAATTGATTAACCGAATAACTGATTAACCAACTTGCTCGAGTAATCGAATAATCGCACAGCCCTAGTACATACATATGTACACGTATATACTTGTATAGAAATACCAATGTGTTTACAAATGCATCTATGTATGTATACTTATTTGACGTGTCATTAAATTATTGCCGAATATTTATTTTGGAAGGGTGAGTGATTGCAGGCCAATATGACAATGATTAAAGCTTTTCAATAACCGGAGATTTAGTAGGTCACTTAGCCAGACAGTTGAGCCAGGTGGCAAGGCAGCAGTATTGTAACTAAAATTAAATCGCCATATCACCTGGAATCGAAATATAAAAAAACAATGGAGCAGATGCGCGTAGTGGCACGCAAATATACAGATCCACATACATACATAACTAACTACCCAATAAACATTGTGGCGAATGTTCGAAAGTGGTTTCAAGACGCTGGAAAATCGCGTGGATTTTTAATAATTTTTTTGGCTGACGGTGTTGTGCATTTTCTTCCACATAAAATATGGTCGACAATTTCGTTTGTATGGGAGAAAATGCCTAACACCATCAAATTTTTAATCAATGCGCTTTTCTAGCGTCTTGAAATTTGCACCTTAACCAACTAAAATTTAATGAGCTACAGAATTGCGAACCCAAAATTTTTCTAAAAATTCTAAATAAAAAATGCAAAATTTTTGGGTGCAAATGTTAAAGTTTTTTGAATTTTCATAATTTTTGTACGAACCCTATAGTCATATGTACCATGTGTCCTACGAAATGGCAATTGTCAGATTTCGGCCAGAAATAAACCATTCTCATATTAGTTCAAAATAGACAGGAAAATACTAGTCCAATTATGAACCGAAACCACTACTTTTGGAGTCAAAAAATAAGATGAATTCATGAATATACAATAAAAAACTTTTGATTAAGTACGCTTTAATATATTACAAATTTTTATTTAGCAAACCATTATTTTTATATGTGTTTCAACCCCATCTCGTCAAGGTCTGACAAAATATTTTTTTTATTTTCATCCATTCAAAGAAATATACTAATAAAAATGAAATATTTCACACAAACAGAGTTGAAATTTTGAAGTTCCTGCCCGTATTTTGTTTGTAAGTCAAATATTAGTGCCATTGCGGTACAGTAGTCGAAAAAATTATACCCCCACCCAATTTTGACAAGTTCTAAAATATTATTTTTGTTTGTTATTTAATTTTGGTTAGTTTTTTATAGGTCATTCTTTAACAACATCCACCTAAATACAACTTTAACGGCAGTGGGTATTTGCTGAAATTTGGTGCAAATCGTATCCCAATTGTGTGAATACCCAAATATTTTTCTTTATCCCAACCACGAAAAATAATTTGTTGCAATTCTTCAATAGAAGATTTGCTGTATTGTACCAATCTTTTGAGTACAAAAAAAATTGTCTCGTTACTGTTATTATTTCATAATTTGATCATAAGTTCATTTAAGATATGTTTCCTCGTATATAATAAATAAAATTTTGCTAAACAAACATTTTGTGTTACTCAACTGAAAATGAAACAGTTTGAATGTGAAAACATAGTACGTTTAATTCGTGCGAAATTTTCCTTATTTCTAGAAAAATTGACAGCCCCTTCCACAGTCATAAACTCTTAAGGTTTGAATTTGACACGCAATTAGCATGTCTAAAAACCTTTTCAGTGGCATTTTGAAAAAGATTGTCTTATTTTTAGAAAAATTCGTAGTCCAGGTGACAGCTTTCAACTGTCAAGGTTTCAATTTGACATAAAATTCGTGGACAGCATATCTAGTTCATTTGACAGCTGTCAACTGTTAGCGTTTTAATTTGACATAAATTCGTGCTGAGCGTGTCAAAAACCATAATCAGTGGTATTTTCAAGAAGAACGATAAGAAACCTATTTATTTTTAGATCCATGGTTTCTTCGGCAAATTAGAATTACACGTAGAATCCTTCTGTGCTATACGCGCATAGTCGAAATAAGCTTCCATACAATTTGCCCAGCCCTGATATAGGTACACTAGGGTGGTCAAAAAATGCATGTGAAAAAGTAAAGTCGGAATTTGTATGCTCTCACCCCCTAGGATTGTTCTATACTGAAAAAAAGTATACCCCTATTTTTTATTTTGAAATCAAAAAATATTTAGAGGTCGCTCAAAGCGCCCAAAGTCTTTCATGTATTTATATGGGGAAAAAACAACTTTTCGTAGAGCATTACAATTCTGACTTTACTGTTTTCGGACCACCCTAATCTGCATACATAATGGTCCGTATGAATGAAACTTAATCAAATGCTTTTTATTAAAATTTCAGACCTTTTACTAATTTTTTTCAAATAAATTTAAGTCAAAGGTATGAAGTTTTAAGAAAAAGCAAAACGAAGGGGCGAGCGCAGAAATTAATTCGGGGGGGTTTTAAATTTTTTTTCATGTAATCAGTTCCAGAAAATATGCCCGTATTTAAATTTTTTAAATAAATTCGAGTGCTTAGCAACCTCCGGAAGAAAAGTGGAGTTACTTTCACGGCTGCGAGAGGCTGTGGAAGCAGAAGGCATCCACGTGGACAAATACGATTTCAAGGGTAAACCCGACGACACATTCGTAAAGGACAAAGAAAAGGTAGATGCTAGTTGTTCATCGAAGGATATGGAGCAGTCGTCCACGATGGTTGAAGAACAGCAAAAGGCTCCTGGTTCATCAACAGCTATGGACATGAACACGTTATTGGCAGCCATGTAACAGATGATGCAAAGACAGCTGGGAGAACAGGATATACGCATCGGAGAAGGTGTCATTGCAGCTGGAGGAAAAGATCACGCAACTTCAGGAAAATCTAATCAGAGACAACGCGGAACTTAAAGCAAGGCAGGAGAAATTCAAGAGAAGCTGGATAAGATCGAAGAGAGACAAGGTTAAGTCGAGGAAAAGTGGGTAAGCTGGAAGGACGCCTCCGCGATTTGCAGTTGAATCGTCCAGCTACTTCGACGAAGGCTGCCAAGGTGAAAACTGCATCCTTCGACGTCACTATTCCTTTCCAGGTCTTTAAGCTTGGAGGATAAATCCGCTGCGCTATTCGTTGCGTTGAAAAGACCTGCAGCAGAAATCCTGCAGACCATTCCTGACTGTGACAGGAGCAGTTACGATGCGTTGATGGGTGCCGTGGAGAGATGTTATGTTAGCGAGCACAGGAGACAAGTTTACCAGATGGAGCTGGAGAATCGCTGCCAAAAATCCAACAAGACTCTACAGGAATTCGCCCCAGAGAATGAGAGGTTGGCTCACTTAGCAATTGCAGACGCATCTAGTGAACACCTTGAAAGGGTAAAAATCCAGAGATTCGTTAGCGGCCTCTTATCCTCAGACGCGTGAAACGGCGGCGCTCTTAAGTAGACCAGCCTATAAAGCGAGACAAAGGAAATGCTGAAGAAGATAATCCAACTGCTGGGCGAGAAAAAGGATAGCTCTGGCAAATGCTTTAAAGGTGGTAAGCCTGGCCACTTCGCCTGCAAATGCAGCGTAAGTTCCAACAGGAACAACAACTCGGCAGGACATAAACGCAGAGCTGAAGAAGATGAACCAGACTTCAGTCAGTCGTTAAACTAACATGAGCCAGCAGGAAGGGCCGCGTTTTGGCTCCAGTAGTTGAAGGGCCCATCATCTCCGTCTCACAAATTGGCCGGAAGCATTCAACCTCACTGTTGGCGGATGTGTGAATGGGCAAAAGCGAGTGCTGCCAGTGGATACTGGAGCGTCACATTCCATTATTCGACCGGATTTGACCACTTTTTATGTGAAGCAACTACCTGGTGAGCACACCCAAGTGATAGGAGAAGTACCATACGAGGTAATAATCGGGGCCTCGTACACCAAGTTTATAGTGGCAGACATTATGGTTGAAGTCTTCATCGGCGTGGACTTTCTACTTGGCCAAGGCATAAAGATCGACCTCCAGGGAATGATCCTGACATATCGCGACAGGAAAGTGCTACTTAGGGTTGGCTACGACAACCAGTACTGCAGCAGACGGTTGGTCTTAGAGGAAGTGCCAAATACTCAACCAGAAACGAAAGCGGTTAGTAGGGCCGAGATTGGCTGTAATGAAGACGGAGTGGTTTCGTCAGGAATAGGATAGGTTCACCGATACAGGAAAAGCATGATGATTCCGCCAGCTCAATGAAGAGGAGGAATACACAACAAGGAAGTGGTCATGGCAAGCCAGGCAGGAAGAGAGCCACTAAACCACGTTACAATGGTGATACGCCGGTAGCCGGAAATGGAGGCGGCTGTGGAAGTATTGAGTGCGCTTCGAAGTATCCAAGAAAATGTCGTGGTTGGCTGAGGATGCATAGGCAAGCATTGAATCCTTAGGCCCGGGATGAGGTTATACATATCCGGTCAATGAAGTTGACGTCGGCGGAAACACTCGGAAAGTTTCTGCGTGTGGGTCCGGATTTAGCAAGATGCGCTAAACGTTGTCCAATCGAGGATCGAAGCCTCGTAGTCATGGCCAGAGGAAGAGGCGTAAATCCGGCGAAAAGGGTGCCCATGAGAAGAGACAACGGTCTGGTCACCACTAGTGCCCGGCAGAAGCCCGGCCATGTGAGGTGGTGCACTCCCGGAGATAAGCCGGAAGCAATGTCCAGTAACGCATAGAGCCGAGAGGATTTCCAGGAAGGCGATTTTGTGTTGATGTACAAGCCGCAGCGAAAGCAAGGCTTCACCTCCAAACAATGACGTAACTGGAAAGGTCCGTATAAGACTGTGTGAAATAACACAAACGGCAATAACGCAAATTGGTGTTATTTCCCAATTGAATGTGAAATAACACAAATTTGCTTTATTTCATTTCTTGTTGAGCAATAAGACCTACTTGTAACTTAAGAATTGAGTAATAAATCAAAGTAGTGCACATAGGTAGTCACCCATTTACATTTGACAAAAAGTAGTACATGAACAAGTTAAATGGACGGATTTGTGAGTCTACAATTTTGAAAGTGCCCAGCGTCGGGGCGGTCCGCGTTCCCCGCACCGCCCCCTCCCTTCCTTTCGAAATTATGAACTGGTGGCATTATATACGTTTAGAAAAAAATATTAATGATAAAATGACACTAGTTCACCTCTGAAACTGGTTTTTAATATCCAAGTAATGGGAATTATTGCGTATGGTGTTATTGCATGCACCCCACCCATGGTGGAATTATACCAGGTGAAGTAATATTAGAGAGAGAAGAAAGATTTTTACGCTGCCTTATTTAAAAATTTGCCTATAAGATGTCACTATAACGCAGCCGAATGTCACACGGTTACAAATTTCGGTTTTAATTTTAAACTTTTTGGACTACATATATGACCAAACTAAATTCAGTTTCAAATACAAACCTTCCAAGTTTAAAAAAAGAGAGCACATATGTTGGGTTTAGAATTTAAACAGTTCGGTTTAAATTTTAAACACAAACATTTTCATTATCTATATATATAAAACAAAGTCGTGTTAGTTACACCATTTATAACTCAAGAACGGCTGGACCGATTTTTATGATATTTGTTTCTTGAATTCGTCTACCTTCCGAATAGCAGAATAACTATTAAAACAACCGCTAGGTGGCGCTGAAGTCGAGTTATTCGTAAAACCCGTATTTATGGTCCTATTCGCCTCATATTTGAGATGTGTATTGACAATAGGAAAAACAATACCACTGCAAAAAAAGAAGCGCCAGGTGGAGTAGGAGTCGAGTTATTACTAAAAATCGTGTTTATGGTCCGATTCGCCTCATATTCGAGATATGTATTGACAATAGGGAAAGCAATACCATTGCAAAAAAAAGAGCCTCCAGGAGGCGTTGGAGTCGAGTTATTACTAAAAATTGGGTTTATGGTCCGATTATCCTCAGATTCAAAATATGTATTGATAACAGTAAAAATATNAAAAAAAGAGCCTCCAGGAGGCGTTGGAGTCGAGTTATTACTAAAAATTGGGTTTATGGTCCGATTATCCTCAGATTCAAAATATGTATTGATAACAGTAAAAATATTATGTAACTAAAAATCGTATTTATGCTCGAATTTATTTCATTATCGAAATATATGAATTCACATGCCGATGGTCCTCTGCAATAACGACGCAACACAAAATTAAAAAAAAATTAAATCCCTTATTACTTTTAAGAGGCTCATGTCTCTAATCCTTGGTACGAAATATATGAAATCAATCACATATTCATGGAGAGAAATTGGAGCTATTGGAAAAGGGGCGTGGCATCTCACACTGTATATCTCTGGAAATGTTCATGGTAGAGTACTGGAACTTGGTATGGAGGTAATTGTATATGAAATCAATCGCATAATCTTGAGAAAAATTTGAGCTATTGTAAAAGCGCGTGGGCCCTCCCATACAATACGAATTTTTCATACTACATTTCCCTGGAAGTGTTCATGGTACAGCACTGGAACTGGGTGCGGAGATATATGAAATCAATCGCATACTCTTGAGAAAAATTTGAGCTATTGTAAAAGCGCGTGGGCCCTCCCATACAATACGAATTTTTCATACTACATTTCCCTGGAAGTGTTCATGGTACAGCACTGGAACTGGGTGCGGAGATATATGAAATCAATCGCATACTCTTGAGAAAAATTTGAGCTATTGTAAAAGCGCGTGGGCCCTCCCATACAATACGAATTTTTCATACTACATTTCCCTGGAAGTGTTCATGGTACAGCACTGGAACTGGGTGCGGAGATATATGAAATCAATCGCATACTCATGAGGAAAAATTCGGACTATTTGAAAAGGGAGCGTGGCACCTCCCATATAAACCGAATTTTCTCCGAACAGCGAAGTGTTCATGCTAGAGTACTGGAACTTGATATGGGGATACTATGTATATGAATCAATCGCATACTATTGAGAAAAATTGGAGAAATTCTTGAACTTGGTACGGAAATATATGAAATCAATCACATACTCATGGAGAAAAATTGGAATTATAGGAAATGGGGCGTGGCACCTCATATACAAACCGAATTTTTCATACTGTATATCTCTAGAAATGTTCATGGTAGAGTAGAAATCTATCGCATATTANCGGAAATATATGAAATCAATCACATACTCATGGAGAAAAATTGGAATTATAGGAAATGGGGCGTGGCACCTCATATACAAACCGAATTTTTCATACTGTATATCTCTAGAAATGTTCATGGTAGAGTAGAAATCTATCGCATATTAATGAATATAATTTCGGACTATTTGAAAATGGAGCGTGGCACCTCCCATATAAACCGAATTTTTCATAATAACTATCTCTGGAATGTTTATGGTAGAGTACTGGAACTTTATACCAGCGTGGCACATCCCATACAAGTCGAATTTTTCTTATTGCATATCTCTAGAATTGTTCTTGGTAGAGTACTGGAACTTGGTGTGGAGATATATGAAATGAATCGCATAGTCATTGAGAAAAAATGGAGCTATTGGAAAATCGGGCGTGGCACCTAACATACAAGCCGGATTTCATACTGCATATCTCTGGAAGAGTTCATGGTACAGTAATGGAACTTCGTATGGAGATATATGAAATCAATCCCATACTCATGGAGAAAAGTAGGCTCTTTGAAAAGAGGGCATGGCAGAGTACAAACGTACTGACTTTTCCTTATCTTTGAATGTGTATATAATTCTTCTGTATGTATGTTTGCGAGTGAAATCCTAAATGGCTGGAGGGATTTCAAAAAAGTTGTGTGTGTGAGTTTGAGTGAGTCTCTGGATAGTTTAGTTTCACAATTTAACGCGCCAGTTGGCGCTGGAGTTGAGTTATTACTAAAAATCTTTTTTTATGATCCGATTTGACGAATATTCAAAACACGTATTGAAAACGGTAAAGGAAGTCCAATTGCAAAAAAGAGATGTGAGGTGATGCTGAGCTTGAGTTATTACTAAAAATCGACAAGTGAGAAAAGGTGCCGTGAATGTCAGACTAAATCGACCTGTTGCACCATTACGTATATCGAACTCTCGTGTATTTAGGGATGCAAATGATGAATCGTTATTTTTGAAACATCGGGTTGATTTGTGCCGTGGTAAATCTCAAAACTTTACCTGTCGAAATACCTCAAAAGCCAGTTTAATAAAAGCAATTTAATGAAGATTTATTTTTTTAATTGAATTTAATACAGAACCTGACAGCAAAAAATAATTTTTCACTTAAATTGCTTTCGTGAAACTGGCTTTTAAGGTATTTCATCTCAGTCTATGTATGTATATTGTATTTCTGTTGGACAAGGATACGACACGCATTCATTTTGAAATTGCCACCAACTATACGATAAAGGTTCTAGGGCAAATTCACTATAGATCCGGATCATTGTTGCCGCCGGGGACCTTCTTCATAGACATAACACTTTCCTTAGTTTATTTAAGGCGGCAAACGACCACCAAACCATAATCTTAACCGATGAATTTGCAAATGAAAATCTTGGACTGTTGGAGAAAATGTTGGACCAAAAAGATTAAATTAAAAATCTAATTATGGGCGGGTCGCCTAGTAAACAATAAACATGATTAGCAAGTAAAATTTGCTGATGCAAAAACAATAAACATAGTTAACGACAATTACTTCACACTAATTTTGACTTGAACTTACTTTTACATAAATATTGACAAACATTTTTTATCAAACGATAAAAGTTAGCACCATTTTAATTATCTTTTCACAATATTATGAAATTCCAATCCTATATTCTTATTTATATTTGTTATTAATTACACTGGTCTACAAATTTCAACTTTTTTTCTGCGAATAAGACGGGACCTGGTGTTTCTGAACGGATTTTTCGTGCTGAACACGAATCCGGGGTCAAAAATGTCCCATCACGTCACGTTTTCGAGAAAAAAGGGGTTGAAACCCCTAAAAACAGCGTTTTTGGCCATTTTCGAAAAATTATAGAGCTGAACCCTGACGTAAGCAGCTTTTTAAATCTATGTATGTATGTACTTAAATTTTTATGAAAGTATTATTTCTCGTTTCTAATTTTCTATAAAACTATTTGCAGTCATTAACCAACAAATAAGTTGTCGACAACAATAACTTAAGCAATGCTGCTATACGAAATAAAATTATTAGTGGCAAATCAAAATTTTGAAAAGTGCCGATTTTCACATTCGATAGTTGGATATGGTAGCAACGAGATGTACGAGCATTTTTTTCTTAAGAGCTGCATACTGATTTAAGAAATTTGTTATAGAAGCAAATTTATTTTCTATTTATTGTGCGTAATTTTATATGAATTTTTAGTTTTTCTTGAGAGCCTTTACAAATAAAAAAAATTTCGGAATATGTACATATGTACTATAGGCGTGCACAGATACAACTGAATGCACCAGTTTGTATGCTTTCCTATTTTGAGTGAGTATAGATGAGTAAAATTTAGTTTCTGTTACGAGTTGGTATTGTTACTCTTTCTAACAGTTATGGTGTGGTGTGTATAGAGAGAAAGAGAGTAACATATTTGTTTGCATCTGTTTCTCCCAAACTGGTATAAACAGATATTGGTGGTGACACCATAAGTACTTATGGTATGTTGTTGATCAGAACTAGTTGTTGTTATTAAATTAGCTTTTAATAGAATAATTCCTGTGTAGGATCATTGAATTTTACTGAAAATAAAAAGTATTTAATAAACAGTAACAACTTTTTTATTTTATTTTTATTTAAAGTTTATTAATAACAAAATAACAATTCATTTTTAAAATAACAT